CAAACACAACTCCAACTTCAGCTTTAGATTCAAAATTTTCAAATAAAGTTAAATATTTTTTTATTTTCATGGACAAAAAACTACATATATTAGTATATGTAACAACTGAAACATATACTCTTTTCGTTTTAATTTTTTTGACCTATTTTTTTACGGTCTATTTAAAAAAAAATACATTCGACATATTATTAATATAATTTAAATTCACAAAATTCAAATGTATTTTTAATTTTCTTAAATTTAGCATCAAGTTAAATCAAGTCTAATAAATTAAAACGGAAGGATTATAAAATATTGAATACCAAATAGTATATTATGCAAATTTGACATATACATATCAATAGAAAAAGAAAAATATATGTACAGATCCTAAAGCCCTAAATCAGTGAATCCCTAAATTCCCAAACTTGTCTCTCAAATTTCAAGGCTCAACCTCATTCTCGTTTGCTCCTACATCGTCGACATCAAGAGTAAGTTATTCTTCTTTTACTATGTTCAGAGCTTACATACTATAACAACTTCTCTAGCTTTCAGTTCCCTTATTTCGTATGTTTGGGAGCCATCGTCTATTGGAAATAGTCTGTAGTAAGTAGAGGTAAGGTCTGCATACATTCTAGCATCTTCAAATTCCACTTATGAGATTACACTAGGTATGTTATCCAACTTAATTTAATTCGACTGCCTTTAAGCCATCAAACAGATATTGTGTAAGCTTTTGTATTTGGACAAATTGTTATAGTGTGTAAGCTTTTGTATTTGATCAAGTTTACTGTACTATTTGTATGGGTGGAAAATTATAATAAAAGGGGGGAAAACTTTTGTTCTTGATTCTCTTTGAATTTTTTTTTGCTTAAAAGACGGAAGGTGTAGATATCCCATTCTTTTTCCGACTAGTTTAATAATCAGGGATTGTTTCCAGTGTGTATTAGCTTTGTTTATAGCTAGATGTAATAGGGATGAAGTTTGGGTGGTTTTGAGGATTTTCTTGTTCGTCGTGAAAGCTTATGTTGTCTAGACCTTGGGTAATGTAAGTTATATAATATTCTTCAGTTTTGAAATAAGAGATTCGAGGAAACTTACTTTGCGATTGACGGAGGTTTGCTCTACTTCTTCCTTTTGTTTTTTGTGTTCCAATGATGTAAATCAGTTTCTTGTTCGCTCATATCGTTGTGCTCTGTAACTACTTCTACTTTTTGATATTGCATTTTACGGAGAGAAAAATCGTGCATAAGCTTATACTCACTAAAAC